CGGGTGGGTCTCAAACCCGTGGGCTCAGGCAATCCACTCGCCTCGGCCTCCCAAAGTGCTGGGATTACAGGCTGAGCCACCAAGCCTGGCGAGAAATGTTCTTTGCCATTTTTCTTTCTTTGCGTCAGTAAGAAGAAAAAAACTGTCACTAAGATGTGAATTTGTGGTATAGTGATAATTGTGTCAATGTCATAAATTTCTGATTTCTTGGAGAGTCTTAAATTCCTTCTCCTCCCTAGTTTATCAGAAAATCAGGGAGATAGCTCTATAGCCATACAAGGGGGCAGAGATTGCACCTGGTGGGTAAAGATACATTGGACAGGTTCCTCATGTGTCAAACTTTCTAGTGTTCTGACTTGTACAGGGCACAGGTCTAAATACACATCCGGTTTTTCATGTTGTGAACTTCTAGTGGTTCTTCCAGAAGGCCCTCAGACATGGTTTGTGTATTCATCTGGCTTAAAGCATACACTGGAAAAAAATATTACCTCAGAAGGATGTCACACTGAACCTTGACTTATGATCACCTCTTCTTTATTTATTAATCATTTCATATTTGAAAAAAAAGAAGGAAAGGCACAGAAGCAAATGGGTTGGAGGATATAGCTTTTTTTCCTTAAGAAGAGTCAGGAAAGGCCTGGGATTTTTCCAAGCAGTGCTTATCTGCTGGTGATGTCCCTAACAGTTACCTGTGGGGCTTTAAAACAAAACAGAATGCTTGTGCACCAGCTCATATGTTCCAGGTTGCTATTTCTGTGGGTGGTACAGAGACCTAAATACTTCCAGAGAGCTCCATAACCATCTCAGATGGTCGTCCTCATGTAGGAGGTTTGCTGAAGGGACAGGTTTTCTCAAACATTATTATGCACTAAAACACCCCTAGGGAGCTTGGTAAATTGTAGAGCCCTGAATCCAAATTCTGGATATTATGATTCAGTAAGTCTCTCGTGAAGGCCAAAATTCTGGACATTTAATGAAGTTCTCAAGATGGCTATGAATGAGGTTGAACATGCCACTTGTGGGCCCTAGGGAGAGAGAGGACCCACAGGCAGGTGGAAGGAAGGAAGTCAGGAAACAGCAGAGGTCATAAAAGGATAAAGAGACAAAGAGCCCCATGAAGGAAGCAGAGAGAGAAGAAGAGGAAAGCCTGGAAGAGACAAACATTACCAATCTCTTTATCTGTCTGACCGTATCTAAGATCTTTGAGGAAATATGTTTTGAAGCCGAGATACAAGCACTAGAAAATAAGTGCACTTGCTCATCTAACACATTCTTAAAAAATGGATTTCCTCTGACCCAAGAATGACCTGTGTCAAATTCTTTATGCCATTTAAAAATAAGAATATTGCTCATCTCTCTTTTGTCTTTTGTCATAAATAGTTGACACTGTAAGCCTTTCTTGCTTTACAGAATTATTAACGATCCCTCTTCAGGCCCAAGGAGGCCCGTGGCAATCCACTCTATAGACAAAGAGCATTGCAGAAATTACAGCCACGTGTGTTCAAGGCTGACTTATGTTTGCAGTGATGCCATGAGACAATGTGAGCTGCTGTACACAGCATACATTCAGAAGGTCTTTCTGAACTGCATGGCAGAAAGATTCAAGTCATTTTGTCCAAGGTTATTCTAAAAGCATACCTAGAATTGTCATTCTGTTTTGTGTTCTAAGCCGAGTAAATCATCAGTCTCATCAATTAGTGTCCAATCATAGTCTATCCTGGTGTTACTTTATTCTTCATAAGGGATGTAGCACCATTTCTTTATTTACTAGTGATTGTATTATTCCCTCCAGAATAATGATCTGCTTTGCTTGTTTGTTGTTCTTCGAATCTCCACATTAAAACTGACATAGTTTTGTAAGAGATTCACAATTCTCAAATTTATGATGATTTTCTGTTTAATTTTCGAGGACTTTTAGCAAATGGTTTCAAAAGTATCTTTTTAATAATATTTGAAGGGAGAGGAAAGATTCACACATGTAAACGTACATATCATACTATGCAGCATACTTATTGCTTCCAAAAAAGGTCATTACTAAAGGAGAAATTCTGTGGTCTGAATGAGATTAATTTTCTGAGACTCACTCACCTTTTGTATGACCAGGAAAGGAAAGTGGTTAAGATAAAATGATATTGGATGCAGTACAATTGGGTATCACACACACACACACACACTGACACAGATGCTAACACACACGTACAAAAACACACACAAACATGAGAAAGAGAAGTGGGAAGAAGTATGTAAGGACTCAGGTATGACTATCAGTAAATAATTTGACATGGCCAATTTGCTTAATTTTCTGGCCTATTGTCTCTTCTATAAATCAAGTTCTATAAACCCCTATTTTCAAACCTCTAGGTGGCTGTGAGAAATCGCAACTCTAAAGC